GAAAGGAGGGAGGGGTTGAGGAGGAGTGAGGAGGAGGAGGGAAGGTCTTACTCACAGAGTTATCCTACTCTGTTGGACTTCCCGAGGGCCATTCCGAGAAGTTTCCTCGCCCGATTTTTTTCACATCGCAAATTCTAAAAGGATATTTTTTTTGCTTTCTTTTTTGCTGTTTTTGTGCGTGCGTGTGTGTGTGTGAGTGTGTGTGGTGTGTGAGAGAAGAGAGAGAGAGAGAGAGAGAGAGAGAGAGAGAGAGAGAGAGAGAGAGAGAGAGAGAGAGAGAGAGAGAGAGAGAGAGAGAGAGAGAGAGAGAGAGAGAGAGAAGGAAAAGAGAAGAAAGAAAGAAAGAAAGACAAGAAAGAAAGAAAGAAAGAGAAAGAAAGAAAGAGAGAAAAAAGAAAGAGAGAAAGAAAAGAAAGAGAGAAAGAGAGAAAGAAAGAAAGAAAGAAAAGAGAGAGAAAGAAAGAAAGAAAGGAAAGAGAAAGAGAAACAGAATAGGAGAGAAATAGGAAGAGAGAATAAGATATGTCTATGTGTGCGTGAAAGCATCTCTATAGTATGCGAGTGCATGAGTCTATGAGTGCATGTGTACGTCAGTTTTTCTGTATGCGAATGTATGTGTATATGTATGTGTGTGAAGGTACGTGTGTGTTTGGGCGTTCGCGGTAGTGTGTGCATATGTGCGTATGGGTATTCATGGGTGTATATATGTGTGCATGTGTGTGTGCATGTTTGAGCGTATGAATATGAGTACGTGCTGGTGCATAGGTATGAACGGATGTGCTAGTGTCCACAAAAAAAAAAAAAAAAAAAAAAAAAAAATATAATATATATATATAATATATATATATATATATATATATATATATATATATATATATATATATATATATATATATATATATATATATATATAATAAATGCAAATTCCAGCACACGCCTGCTTGTCGATGACTCATCAACACTTGCGACTGACATGCTTGCTTATCTTTACCACCGCGGACAAAGCAGTATTTCGATTAGCACGGGTGTTCAATTCACACACACAAACTGCATGCCCACACACTTCTTCTAGACCTTGCCCACACACATAAGTGACGCAGACACACGGACACACATGCACACGCGCACACTCACACACACACACACACACGGATACACATAGTATACATGTTTATTAATCCGCCAAAACATAATCGCAAATTTCCGCGCATTTTTTCCGCCGCAAAGTCACGCAAAGTTGCCTAAAAACTACTTTATTTTCTAATAATGGTAGACAAAGGCCTGTCCTACTCCAAAGTCCGTTTGTTTGAGTATAAACATAAAAATAAAAGGCACACACATGCAATTACATTATAGTGAGTATAAAGAATGTAAAAAATCTATGATATATATAATGAAGCAAGCACTCTACTTAAACACATAATTAGATACACCGTGCAGATACATACATTCGTGCATATATACACAGGGTTAGTCATATTCATTTAATGCACATATACACAATATTTATCAGTATCAGTAGAGAAATACAGTATACACTGCCCCTCCCAAACACACAATGAACACACCCACACACACATACAATGAACATACACACACAAATACAATGAACACACCCACACACACATACAATGAACATCCACACACACACACACCCACATACAATGAATACACACCCACACCCACACACACATACAATGAACACATCCACACACACAATGAACAACCAACCACATATACACAATGAACACCCACACACACATACACAATGAACACACCACACACACACACACCCACACACACATACAATGAACACACACACCCACACACACATACACAATGAACACACACACACCACCACACACACACATACACAATGAACACCCACACCCACACACATTACACAATGAAACACCCACACCCACACACACATACACAATGAACACAACACACACACATACACAATGAACACCCACACACATACACAATGAAACACACACACACACACATACACAATGAACACCCACACCCACACACACATACACAATGAACACCCACACCCACACACACATACACAATGAACACACACACACACATACACAATGAACACACACACACATACACAATGAACACCCACACCCACACACACTCACCCTCTCACACATACTCACACTCACACTCACATGCTCCCATGAACATGTGCCCACATGCATGCATGAACACAGGCACACATACTTATACGAACACACACACACACACATACTTGCTCGCATGCCCACACATATACATTCACATGCAAACACTTACACTACTTGGATGCACATACATATACATTCACATGCAAACACTTACACTACTTGGATGCACATACATATACATGACCACATGCAAACACACTCACACATACACACCCACACACACTTGGATGAACACACTTTTATTAACATGTATACATATCTATTATTACTGTTGTGATTTTCCCTTATCAAATAAAAACTGGATAAAAACTTTTAGAACTTTTGTAAAACAAATTACACTATCTGCAATAAACTATATTGCTTCTATCCATTAAGTTCTTGATCTACATTTCTTGAAAAGTACTTTCAAACTATTTTGTAAAAACATACCCTGTAATCATTTATGAAATTCCCCTCCCCTTCCTATCTTATTTAAGAAACTGTAAACTGGAACACAAACAAAAGGTTTGTGAATTATTTACTAACATCTACGTAATTAAAATTTACTTTACATAACATTCTTATTTTATTTTATTTTATATCAACATTAGCTTGCAGACTCCCAGGAACATTCTGGATTTTTTTTTTTTTTTTTTTTGGGGGGGGGGGGGTAAGCATCCCACAGGTTAATGTAAAGCCATATACCTGTGGTTTTCAAACTGGCATCCATGGGTGCCACAACCTAGGAGTTTCTGCAGTAAAATAAATGTATCTAAATTTTGTCACTCACACTCTTCTGATAAGTAGGTTTGTCATTTGGGCTTGAAATCTGTGTTTATTTTGGTTCAAGCTACAGCAGTTCTTGGAATAGGCAAAGATTAAATTTGCTATAAAGATAAATTTGTGTGAGGTGAAGGAGGGGGGGCATGAAGGCTCCCACTAGAAATAACTACCATATACAGTATATCAGTATATGCATCCACAAATGCATGTACTTACAAATGCCCTTTGCATTTATGAACCCACAAAAATATTTCTCTCTTTATTGTTCAACCATTACTGAGAAGAGTTTGGGATCCATTGTCATATAGTTTGCTAGTATATAAACCTACAAATACATGTACTCACAAATTCCATCAAAATTCCTTTAGTTTCTGTAAACCAACAGTAATATCTCATTCTACACCTTCTGTCAGATCTAAAGACCGAGACCATATAGAAAGAACATGGTATTATAGTCATGAAAGGGATTCATTAGTGTTACATAAATACATGTATTTATTTGCATTTGTTCTTACACATAGTCAAAGCAATTTTATGTCAAAGTACTGTCAATTAGTGGCAGAAAAGGGGTTAGTCAAAGTTGGGCAAATGCCAATAAAATCGAACCATGTCAAAAACATTTCTTGGTCAAATAAATTAATTGAATACTATGGAATATTGGACTGCCAATAAACTAATGAATACAATAGAATATGGTTTTTATCTTTATATTTTAATATACGTGTCTCAGAGTTTTCAAGGGAATGACACCATAACCATGAACTGTTAGTTCCATACTTTATCATATCTGAACAAGGTGCTGTAATATACCGTATTACCATACAGTGATAGTACTTTAATACTGCTGAATACATTCAGTATATACTTTTTGGTGTTTGACCTCTAAATTTCATGATTATGTGCACTGTCCTTTTGTCATAATCAGCCATAAGTATAAAATCACATACCATATCTCACATAGGGATAATTCTCATTGAATGTAAATCTTCCCAAATTAAGAGTAAACATATAAATGTATCATGGAAGTGGAAGACTACGTACTAACTCATCTGAGGCAATTAAAAATCAACTTAAACCTTAACTGATTGTTCAGTGTTTTAAATATGATTTAAGTTTACTAAATCGCATCATTCTAAATTATAATATTTATAAGTTATGATGATACAAGGTGTATGATGTTATAACTGTATTCTAATCTTTTCAATCGTATATTCAAAGTTTTGATATTTAATCAATCAATATTACAAAAGATAAATAAAATGACACTGAAAAGAAACACGAAGATGACAGAAAATGAAGAACTATTACGAAAATCATAGTTCTATTAAATAAAATCCAACTTCCGATTCTGAGACCTTTGTTGTGTTAATCAAATATGAAAATAAAAGTAGCAAAAACGTCATGTTTCTTGTCTATACATCACATTTATATGAAATTGACAATGTCTTTGTCCCGGGAAGTGTAGATTTTAATTTTACTATTCTTGCCACTAGTATATAACGAAAAAAATTCCATATTTAGATTCGCAATAGTTTATGTTAATTGCAGTTATCACTCAGCTTGAAAATGATATTCAAACACGAGTATGATATAAAAGCCGATTCGAAAATGTGAAAATGAACGAGTCATGTTGGTCGATTTCCAAGCGAACCCCCGTCAGGAAAATTGCAAAACATTCATAATATAATTCATTTCATAACAAATGCTACAATCCACTCAATGAAAAATGTGTCCATGATTCTAATGAACCATAAAAAACTTTTAAACTCCACCTAAAATCAAGTAAAATACTCACTTAACACGAATGATGTGCGCCATGGCTTCTTCCTCTCTTTTGAATCTCCGACTTATCACTTTGTTTTGAACTTGGCCGATGGTTCCTCTTCCACGACGCGTCTAGAAAACTCTTACGAATTATTCCAAATAGATATCAGATGTAAATACCAATTTAAATTATTATGATTATTATAGATTATTATTTCTTTCTATTTCAGATAAGCATATAGAAGATTGCGTCATTCGAGAACAGAGAAACGGAGGTCGAGTCTCTCTTTGCCATACAGTCGATAGCGAGACTTGCCGGCTGTCGGAAGGTCGTCCCTCCTCTCTCTCCTCCTTCCCCTTGTGGCCGTTCTATCATGTGCTAAGCTTTACACACCATGATTGTTGTGACGAGGACAGCTTCTGAATTTTACGTTAGATAGTGAAGAGCAGGAAAACATAGTAACCATGAGTCGCTCAAAGAAGTATAACAACCCCTTCGCTGGGGTTCGCTACGAGCATCTAGTCGCTGGTGTGTCAGGAGGAGTTGCTTCCACGCTTATTTTGCATCCTCTGGACCTTCTCAAGATCAGATTTGCAGGTAAGTCTCTGAATTTCATCCTTTGTGGAGTGTTTGGGAAGTTATCCGTATGTATGAATGGGAAAAGGGCGAATAGAGAGAGTAATGGGTGATTTATCTCATCGGTTGCAAGGTCAACTTCTCGTAGTACTGCACCCCCCCCCACCCTCCCCCAGATACACTCAAAAAGAAGTTAAATATGATAAAGGAAAACCCAAGATTCATTCTCACACCAGTAAAAACTTAAATACAGTGACTAAATGAAGGTTGAAGTTGAAGTCTATTGTTTCGTCATTTCACGCCCTCCACGTGTCGACCTTGGGGGAGAAGGGGGAAATGCTGGGTAGGGAGGAATGGGTTATGTAAGTATAGAGTGCCTATGCTGTGATAGATTTGCGTTTTTATTATTATTATTATTAGTTTGACAATTTAGGACAGGGTAGGTAATGAGACAGGTTGTGATTAGGAATATTTAATTTCCATATTGCAGTAGGAACTGGTCTTTTTTTCAAGATTAGTTTTAGTCCATTTGAAATAGTGTATAAGTTCCTGAGAGCGTTGCATGGAGATAGAGGGAAATGAACTAAATCGTCTTACAGAGTGTAAGAAGTACATAGAAGAAAACATAGAACACTGCGCATTATCATTTTGCATATGTTATTTTTGTCTAAAACACTGAGAATTTTAAGCTATTATTTATCATAACTTAGAATGAAGATCCTTGATAGCATGGACGTACTTGCCAAAGAATAAAGCCCCCAACTCCACACTACTCTCCAACAGTCTAAGTTACCGTGACTGGGCGCACTGTTTAAGGGGAGGTTTGATAGGGGTTTTTCATCCCAAAACCCCCCTACCGGCAAACATTGTCCTCACCTCAGCATGCACAGCAAGTTAGAGCTGAAACTTACAAGCACTAAGTTAACTTAGGCTGTGTCCGGCACTTTCCATGGTCTCTTATATTTGTTATGTTGGCATTTGTGTCTACAGATTATTTATACGAACGATTGTAATCTTTTGTCCTCTACAAGAAAATAATTTTCAACTAGCCTTGTCTTGCTGCATATATACTTTAAAGATTAATCCTTACTTATTCTGATTAGGGCATGGCTGTTATAAAGAATATAATCTACATCGCAAGTGAATGCAAAAATGAGGTATACCAAAAATTAATTTCAAAACTTGCAGGTATTATTGGCAAAGTCATAGTACATCTGTTGAGAATTTTATAAATGATATTCATATGTATTAGCCAATTTTAATGAAGGTAAATATTATTTTGATGCTGGACCAGGTTGATATGTAAGAATGTTAAGTAAATCTAATGTAACTGTCTCAAACATCACATAAATCACGTCCCCCCCCCCCACACACACACACACACACCACCATACTGTAAGGATTCTTCTTCTTCATTAGTTCTTCATTAGTTCTTTGTCGAGAGGTTGCTTATGCAAATATTGAATCTATGCGGATTATGCTGAGAAAGTGCTGTATTGTTTCATTTTACACCTGTGCAGGTACTGTAGCACTCCCCCCCCCCCCAAAAAAAAATAATAAATAAATAAAAAATAAGCCATGTTTAGCATGTCCGATATGACTGTGAAATATATTCTCTCCAGTAATAAAGAAAAAGCAGACAAACACAGACTGGTAGATACATATGCAAGATATACATACTGAGGGTAGAGTTTTTGACTTATAATCATTTTGCACTTTACTTTAGGGTTATTAGCAACATGAGAAGTTGCATCTTCATTTGTATAGCAATAAAGCACTACATTGCATCAGGTATGAATGAAAGGTTCATAGATAGAATCTTAGTGAAGAATAATAAAAAAGCAATGTTCTAATTATATTTTGTTGATGGTGCATACTTTCTTTGTTATAGGAATACTTTATTGTGAATTATTAATGCTTAGGTGCTTTACTTGTGTTTTTTCTCTTGTTCTAATTTTATCCAAATATTGTAAAGTTAGCAGTAAATTCATTAAAGACCAGTTCACCATCTTTTCCTGATTCATATTATTTTGACATTTAACTGTGGCAGAATGCATAAGGATAACATGTGATCAAAATGTTAGAGATAGTTCAGGGTAATTTTAGACATTAGTCTATGCTATTCTCATAATGACAGCCAGAGTACAAAAAAAAAAAAACTAATATTTGCATACATTCATTTATCTTATATAATCTGTTACTCAATGATGTATATGAAATATGTAGTAGTGCACTTGAAGTGTTCCTGATTATGTACCAGTTTGTACCAGTTAAAGCTGAAATTGTCTAAGAATAGCTGGTTTAGGTATCTTATGACAGTGTTAAAAAGGTATAAGTAAGTTAATACATACCTGTTTTAGAACCCAGGATAGTGGAAGTAACTTCCTGTTTCAATGTTAAGTGCATTGTAAAAGTTACCTTACAGAATTCTGCTCACACTTCTTTATTACTTGGTGTAGAAGACAAATAGAATTTATTTATTTTTTGAATATACTTAAGAGGCTATTTGTAGTAGTTGTTGTTTTAATTTTACTCTTTCCTTCTTTCCAGTCAGTGATAGTTCAGCCACGGCGACGAAGCCTCATTACACCGGACTGACTCAGGCTCTAGGTCAGATCTTGAGACATGAGGGGATTAAAGGATTGTATAGAGGAGTCACACCCAATGTCTGGGGTGCGGGATCTGCGTGGGGCCTCTACTTCTTGTTGTAAGTATTTTATTTATATATAGTTTTTGGCATTTTCCTTTCTGTTCCTGTCTTTTTTCTTCTTCATTTGCTTCTCATTTGTATTCTTTCATTTAGTTATTTATGTCGCTTTTTTGCTTTTTTTACAGTTCTTTCATTTTTGCTTCATTATCTCATCTTTGCATTTTTTTATTCACTCTTGTATTGGTATGGATGTAATTCAATGAACATATATTTTATGTTCTAGAAAGAAGTTATATTTTTCATTGGCAGATGTTTTTCACACTGTAGGTACGGTGAACATTATAGTCAGTTTGTCTTATTCCCATTTTTATTGCATGTTTTGGGTAGGAGTATCAGGGATTAGAAAATGTTTTATTTGTTTAAGATGTAAATCAGAATAATTCCCCAAACAGGGGATGGGGAAAGGGAGGCAGGGAGGAAAAGAGAAAAAGAGAATCCATAATAAACAAATCATATTTCAAAGGAGAGAATGAGTGTCACATTGATATATATCAGCTTTGGTGAAATAGGTGAGTGGATTCCAGAACATTGTTAGCAGGGGAGGGAGGTTGAAGAGCAGGCATCCTTTGAGTTTATTTCGGCAAAGTAGGTGCCAATTTCTGGCCAGTGACAGGGAAGTTCTCTGGGGCTGGGGGGAAAGGGATGGGGGTTAAGTCATGTGGTTCAAGCTTACTGGAGAATTCCAGTTTTTTTTTCTTCTATTCTCTTATTCTCCTCTCGCCTCTTCTGTTTTATTCTCATATTCTCCTCTTTCCTCTTCTATTTTGTTCTCATATTCTCCCCTTTCCTCTTCTATTTTATTCTCATATTCTCCTCTTTCTTCCTGTTTTATTCTCATATTTTCTCTTTTCTCCTCAGTGTCTCTTGGTCACCCCCCTCCCCCTCTCTCTTCCTCCCTCCTAGTAGTGAACTGACTTGTCACTGGGCCATTGCACCTGCATTTGGGTACTTTTATGTGTTCAGAGTAGCCAGCCCTGTTTCTTGGCTTTTATTTTTAGTATTTTAATCAAAGCAGTGTGATCCTCGTTATCCCTGTGGGCTGGATATAATGCGGATATTAGTAGATTTCTTTATATTTTTCTTCTCTTGCATGTCATAATGTCAGTTTAAATCACTGATCTGGTCGTTATCTCAATCAGTCTGGACACTAGATAAAAGATCCAAGGTTTTTTAGAAGATACTTTTGTCCGCCATTCCCGAAATAGGTTTGTATCTCACTTGGTGTTGCTAATTTTCCTCGCCAACAGCTAGTAGGAGAGGTTGGCCTTTACACCAGAAAGCAGTACGTGAGAATGAGAATACAGAAGTCCAATGATACAGAATGTTTATTTACAAGAATTGGCCGAACAGAGCAGAATTATCCTTTGGGTTTTGGGTCTGGTGCTATAATAACAAAGATGATTATGGTATCGTTGAATATAATGATATAGTTAATCATCATCATTATTATTTTCATTATTTTAATTACTGACACCAACCACTACTTCTACTTACCATGTTAGCTTATACCATTGTTAGCTATACCATTGTTAGTACCACTGCTTATACCATTGTACCACTACTCATACCATTGTTAGTACCACTACTCATACCCACTGCTTACCATTGTTAGTACCACTGCTTATACCATGTTAGCTATACCATTGTTAGTACCACTACTCATACCATTGTTAGTACCACTACTCATACCATTGTGCCTAGTAACACTACTATTGCCTATATTAGTAACACTACTATTGCCTTTATTAGTAACACTACTGTTGCCTTTGTTAGTAACACTACTATTGCATTTGTTAGTACCACTATTACCATTGTTGCTGCCACACTATTACCGTTAAAACTACCACTACTATTACCATTATTACTACCACTACCATTGCTGCTGCAGTTGTTGTTGATGCTGTATTTTGTAATTGTTCATTCCACATATCCAGAAAAGAATGTCATTCGTCTTCAGAGTACAAGAAAAATGAACGACAGATATAACCAGACGATCACTTACTCAAAGCATTCCAGATAAGACAGATAAGATGACATGGCTTTGATAGCGTGGTTATGGCTAGGATATTCAGAATCACCACAGGCGGAATAAGAAAAAGGTTAACTGGTTATTGAAGTTGAATTTCACAATCGAAGTACGTGTCCGAGGGGACCTAAATAAGTTTGTTTTGATTAGATCTGATATTTGTTGATTTACATCAGTTGTCAATATTTTCAAGCATACGCATTATCAGTGAACAGATATTTATTCTGTTAAACTGCGTCTCTATATCCATTATTTTTATTTATTTGTTTTGGCCACACTCCTTGTTGCACAAGTTCGTGTTTATGATTTGCATTATTGTTCCTTCTTTGTTTTAATGATATAATGATTGTTGATTGAAAAAGATACATGTATTAGGCATGCAGATAGAGAAATAGATATATATAGAAATACATGACAATATCCTACACGCTATATATATATATATATATATATATATATATATATATATATATATATATATATATAAATACATGACATTATCCTACACGCTAACCTATAAAGCTTTAGTAATTGACCAAACATATCGATGACTTGTTCTCGGTACGGCGTCCTAGGCCTCCCACACGCATAAAATGTTTGTCATCGTTACCAAACGAAACTAAGGCATTTTTTAGTGTGACGAATATTTTTATCCAGTGAACGGGAAGGGTTCCGTATTCGATGAACAGGAAGCAGCATTCGACAGGGAAGTTACGTAAGGAACTTATAAGGCGGTTTGTTGTTGTTGTGTTGAGTTTTTGGGTGGTGGTTTTTATGTTATTTTGGCATATTTTGTGCGGTGTCAAGAAATGGTTGTTTATTTGTTGATTTGTGGGTTAAGTACTGTGTGGGCTTGTGGTGTTATAAGGCATTTCTGGGGTGGCGGTTAGATGTTTTAGTTTTTGTATGTTTTTTTGTATTATTATTTTATTTTATTATTATTATGTGTTGTTTTTTGTATTAAGATTACGTCATTGCAAAGGAGGGGAAAGTGGCGCAAGTTTTACGTAAGGGGATTACACGGAAGGAGAAAACAACCACCATTTAAAGAAACCCCAAGTATTTGCATTGAATTATTTATAACATTCTTCTGAAGCAAGACAGAACCGCATGATTCCAGAGGGGTGATTATTTGTTTGTCTGTGTGCGTGTGTTTGATTATTTGTAAGCGGTGTGTGTGTGTGTACGTCAGTATATTTATACACAAAGCAATATTTCTTTGTTGTAGGGCTTTACGTTTCACATCTCCCGCATTTACTTCGATAAAAAAGAGTTGGGAGATTCGATAAGCAAGAGGGAGTTGCACAAGGGAGGCCTAATCAACTTGATTGAAAAGGGGATAACAAGGGAGATCGGATCTTGACCCTTTCACCTCCCCATCCCCCCCCCACCTTACTTTTTTATCATCTTCCCTCTTATCAACCCCCCCCCCCCCCCCCACGCTGACCCACTCCTCCGGCTCGCTCCTTGCATTAGCGAGGGTCAAGAATTCATCAATATTTGATCGACAACCCCGTCCTTTATTGCTATTCCTGTCCCCTGTCCCAATTCTTTGTCCCTCTACCCTGTCTAATCCCCCTTCCCGCCTCCCTGCCCCTTCCCTCTCCGCCTCCCTCCCCCCATCCCCCTACCCTCCATCGCCCCCTCCCCCCCTAAGCCTACATGTCACGTTATTAACTCGTGACACTCAGCTGGTAATTCGTGATCAGCTGTTCATGTGCCAGGGTGGTGGGGTGCCTCTCTCTCAGTCGGGATGGGAATTAATATCTTCGTTCTGGTATATTGGTATAGGGGATTGGGCATTATTGGTTGGTCCTGTGTTATTACTTGTCACCGATCATTATCCTTGTTTGTATTATCATTATTTCCGATTATTGTCGTAATTACTATTATTTGTTTTAATGTAATTATTACCTTTATCGTTACTATTACATTTGCTGTTCTTATTATTGTTATGATTACTATCATTACCACGACATTGATCACGATACCCCCATACCATTATCATTACAGTGTTATTATTGTTCTTACTCCCTGAATATTTTGTATGTTCCGTACAAATAGCCTAAACACAGAAAGTAAACATGCATTATTTAGAGCAAACAACGGCGACAACAGCGATATCCAACGGGTACAGAATGTTCAGGAAGTACATTTAGAGGAAGGTAAAGGCCAGCTGTACCTAGTGCCAAAAAGGCGCACGATAATCTTGCACGTTGCGAATCTGGCAACTTCGCACGCGGCTCGACCTGACACGCGCGCAGAGAGTCCCTTGCTTCTCTCTCTCTCTCTCTCTCTCTCTCATCTATCTTCTTTTCTAGGCTCTCTTACCAGTCAGATGTCGATTTTAGAGAATATATATTTGAGAGTTAATACGCGGGAGGGAAATGCGCGTTTGTTTAGCTTCCTGTTGGTGTCCGAGCGAGAAGGAATGAGAATTAGCAGGTGGCCTTCTGTTGACGTCGAGATGATGCTCGTTTGTTTCCTGGTGTTGCACGCTACCCTCGCTTCCTCTTTCGTATTAAAGGCTTCTCTCTTTTTTGTTCGAGATGTTGCTTCCTCTTCTTCGCTTTCTTCTTCTTTTGCTTTTTTTCTTTTTTAATCTGACTTCCCTCCTTTTTTCCCTCGTTTTTTTTTTAATTTGTTTTCTTGTCTCGCGTTTTGTTTCTTTCTTCTCTTCCTTCTTCCGTCTGTTTTATTATTATTATTCTCTCCCGTTTTCTTCTTCCTTCTCTTCGTCCGTCTTTTTTTCTTCTCTTTCTTCTTCCGTCCGTTTATTATTTCTCTCCCGTTTCTTCTTCCTCTCTTCGTCCGTCTTTTTTCTCTTTGTTTTTCATTTTTTTCTTTTTCCTCCTTTTTGTTCTTCATTCGATTTTTCATTCTTCACATATTTTCCTTCTTCCTTCACGTCTTTTTTTTTTACTCTTCCCCTTCCTCCTTCCTTCTCTTCCTCCACTTTTTTCCTTATTAT